TTATCTGTAACCCTGTCATACCAACAAGGCGTCTTTTCCAGGAACTTAACTAGTGTCCTACAACTACAGCAACTACAATAAAATCCACCAGTAATAAAAGATTAAGTCGTCGCTTATCGTTTTCAACAAAGAGAGTGTCGCTAAAATGATTAGAAGTCCTCTCCAGTTCAACTTTGAACAGAATGAGAATTGAAAGTGCTCCCACGGATGCCTACACTAAAAGACTGATGATTGGCTCATTTCGATGTCAATCAAACTGGAACACAGGCTCAGACAGATCATCCAATCTGATGCAGAAAAACTGAGCGTCCGGTACCCGCCCACTGCCATCCAGTCCCAGAGATGCCGAGCATCCGTGGGCGGGACAAAAAACAGTTTGTATCCAATGACTCGTCTCCGTCTAACGTATTGGGACAACCTACCATGAACTCTTGAGACGCTCGGCGTCCGGGCAGCGGGACGCTCAGCGCACTCTCAGCGGACTCAGCGAAGCTGCGGGAATGAATGAGAAAGGACTCGCGTCGTAACCAGTAAGAAGAAGCTAATTCGGAACAAAAGTTGAGCACGTTGTAGCGTATATTTAGTCAATGACATGTACACAATGAAATTTACATTCATATATTTGATCACTTATTCTTTGACATTTTAGGGGAAGCTGAACTTCCCTCGCAGTCCGAAAGCAGTCGCCACTGTTCAGAAGGCAGTGGACGAGAGGAAGATTGACGTGAAAAAGCTTGTTGTCAGTACTGATAATGCTTCTAATATGACTGGAGCAATGGACCAAACTGGTTACCCGCATTGTTGAGGGGGTAAGTGGCCTTCTTTCCTCCGCGTGTTCATTTAATTTCGGATGGTGAGGATATTGGCTATCCAAATACAGTCTGGAGACGATGAACAGGGCCTTCGAAGGTTTTATTTGCAGAATATTCCGAGCACATGTGAGTTACAGACAATGGCTGTAGTAGATCACAAGTGCAAAGACACAAGGGATTCACAACATATTTATATCACCAGAAGGGCGGTACCGAAACTATGGTGCGGCATCAGGACTTTCCTTTCTCCGTTTTCAATGTTTTTTCCACCTATTAAATCTTGCGTCACAAGATTCCCTGAAGGTGGCCACTGTTGCCAGGCTTCTTGCCAAGATTAGAAGGATCTCAAACTACTTTCACAGGAGCACAATAGGCAATGGTGCATTGAGATGGATGTGCTACTGACCTGATTCACGGCAATAGTGTTTAAGAAAACATTTTATTCACTTAAGACAGATTTGTCAAATTGAGCATTTCATTCAGTCATTCTTTCGCATAAACATAAGTCATTTAGAAAGTAGCGGGATATCGTTCACCTACAGCATAAACACAATACAATCGACTCAAAAAAGGTATTTGAAGCAAAACGAATGTCATGTCATCCCCACCTAAAATGATAAATAAAAATAATAAACACCATTGTTTATAGGGAAGAGCAATACTTTCAAACTACAATATTGCTACTCAAGAAACACCGTTGCAACTGTTATTGCAATACCACATCATACTTTTGATATGTTGATACAACTTCACTTGTCTTCTTAATAGGAACGTTACACGTGTTAGAGTTCATCTTTCTCTTCTCCTTGGCAGTAGCATGATGCTCTCTGGCTGTTCATGTAGGGTCTGCAACCCAGAGTCCACACCGTGTTGAACAAAGTGTCTGCCACCGTTTCACATGCTGAAGAACAAGAGGTGCAGTGCATGTTAGTCTTTGCAGCAGAGTTGTCGATAGTACGTACCCAAAAAACACTGTAGGTATTTATTTATTTATTTTTACATGTTTTCAAATCTGGGCCTTAATGGTGATTTAGTTGGCTTTTTAGCTCGATTTTGTTTGGCAGTAGTGATTAATCCTTATGAATTTCATTTCAACTCAAGTACAACTTTGTCACTCATGAAATAAACTCATGAAAGCATTTAAAAGGTTTTTGATTTTTCAAACACAGCTCATTTATCTGATTGCTCCATTTCAACCATCAGTGAGTTACAAAGGAATAAACATCTAAGATCACATTCAGCTATAAAGGGGATGTCACCCCAAAATTTTCTTTATATTATCTTTTATATTATCTTTTATATCTTTTTCACCAGTCTAAACATAGCCTGATTAATATTACATTGATGGAATGAATTAATGTGGAAGTCAACACAAACATTTTCTTTATAACAATATATTCTATGCAGCCCCACTCCTCAAAACACAGCATTCTGATTAATGTATTTGTGGAATATGAATTTAGCAGCAGCATCCGCCACTTCTTAATCCATCTCCGGGGGCAGCCATTTTGCCACTTGCTGTCAACCAATCATGGCTCAGCTTCCAAATGTCACATGACCAAACTTGGGAAAAACAGTAGGCACTGTGATGTCATTTTCAGTTGACAGCAACTGGCAAAATGGCCACCCCCTGAGATGGATAAAAATAGGTAAGTTTTGCTGCTTAACACTAACATTATGAATCAGAATACCGCGTTTTGACTTATGAGGCTATATAGAACATATTGTAAAGAAGGTTTTAGGGTTGACTTCCCTGTCAAGGCAGGTCAGTTTCCTACAATGTACAAGAGTGGACCTGTAACATTCAGCAAGGTGAGAATTGGGAACATGAGGAAATGGGATGGAAAGAGGATACCAACCTTCAACTTTGGACACAAAACCAAGGCTCTTCTTGAGGTCGGTGCAGATGCTGTGGAGGCACCAGCGAAACTTGGAGTCACAGCGGTACTTGTTTGAGCCACAGGTGTCATAACACATGTCCAGCTGATTGCAACACTTGGTCATGGCAGGGATCCCCATATCCATCTAGGGCACAGCAAATGTCACATTTGGCGCCATAGTTGGCACCCGTAGGCAAGAGCTTTGCTTTTTGTTGTTTTTGTCTTTTGTTTTGTCATTTGATGTTTGTTGTCCTTTGTGTGAACAGTTTTCAGCGTTTTGCCATGACATTCGGCAAACAAGAAGAATCTGTGCTTGATGGGTGCACCTTCTCGGCAGCACGCGTGTACCAGCACTGATTTGGTTTCCGGCAAAGCGTATGGCGGCACTATTTGACTGTCGCCGTTCAACAGCCCCGGGGCGCTTTTGTGTTTTTGCACCTGTAATGGGTAGCATTTTTTACAGCCCCGTTTTCTTCAGCGGAGATGTCGGCGCTGTTGGACAGTCTGCGTTGGTGCAGCTGGATGGACGGCCGGTGGAGCCGAGGAGAGAGGAGCATCGGCGTATTTAGAACAGAGAGTCACACCTTGGAATTGAAGGGATTTACATGGGGATGGGAGAAGTGAACCGTGTTTCATGTTATGTGCTGTGTTATATTATTTTGTTATTTTATGTTAACTGTTCTGTAAAGGGGCAGCCCGGTAGTCCAGTGGTTAGCACGTCGACTTCACAGTGCAGAGGTACCGGGTTCAATTGCAGCTCCGGCCTCCCTGTGTGGAGTTTGCATGTTCTCCCTGGGCCTGTGTGGGTTCTCTCTGGGTACTCCAGTTTCCTCTCACATTCCAAAAACATGTATGGCAGACTAATTGAACCCTCTAAAGGGGTGTTCACACGGCAACATCTGCTCCGGTGCTGCGCCGGCGCTGCGCCAGTGGAGCGGTCACACGTGCAAATTTGCTCCGGCGTAGCCCCGGAAAACAGCTTACACCGGAGCAAATTTGATCCACCTCAGGGAGGTGTTTTAAAAATTTGCTCTGGAGCAAATGCTCGTTTGCTGATCAGCATGACCAAATTTGCACGTGTTAACTCTCCAATTTGCTCTGGAGCAAATGCTCATTTGCGAGGGGGGAGTAGCCTCGCTACGCATGAGAAGAGTTGATTACATATGGCGAGAACGCGTTGCTTTCATGCTCTGTCGGACTTCTGTCATGTGTTTGTTTAATAACGACACAAGACATGGCTGGTAACAACAGCAAGCACCTTTTGGGTTATACCATCTCAACTAGAATGGGGGGGGGGGGATAGTCCCCAAATGTCATCTTTGCTTTTGTAGGAGACTGGACTGTCTCGAGAGTTGTTTGTGTAGTTTGTTCCTTTGTTGTGTGTTCACAACCCCCTGCACCCCATAGAATTTATTTTGTGATTTCCTCTCTTGATTTTTCTGTTTGCCGCATTACATGTTTGCTTTTCTGAGTGTCATTGAAGTCATCGTTGATTTACGTTTTCAGGGGCGGTCACTCCCGAGCTGAAGGCACGGAGACCGCGAAGGAGAAGGACGTGCCTGTACAGTAGTTGCTTGGGTTGTGTATAAGTTTTAAAAAGAATCAACACGACAGCTCCTTTGTTTTCTGTCGTTTTGCTCCACTGCAGAAACTGCCGTGTGACCGTAAGTGGAGCTGCACCGACGCTGCGCCGGTGCTGACACGCTCAGCGGCTTTGTACGTGTGACCGCTCCACAAAATTTGCTCCGGAGTTAAATATATCGCAACAAAATACATCGGTGTAGCGCCGGAGCAAATGTGTGCCGTGTGAACACCCCTTCTATTGTCCCTAGGTGTGAGTGTGGGCATGGATGGTTGCTCATCTCTGTGTGCCCTGTGATTGGGTGGTAACCTATTCAGGGTGTCCCCCGCCTACTGCCCAGAGACAGCTGGGATGGGCTCCAGCACCCCCCGCGACCCGAGTGAGGATAAAGCGGTTCAGAAAATGAATGAATGAATGTTCTGTAAAGGGCTTTGTTACAGCTGCAGCTGTTGTGAAAGTGTTGTATAAATAAAGATGTATCACGAGCCATGGATGATTTTAACAATCTAGTTACAAAGTCAATGTCTTGGAAACCTGTGACTTGTTGGTGTTTTGTAAAAAAAAAAAAAAAAAAAAAAAGATTAATATTTGATTGTGTAATAGTAATTCATATTGAAAATGAAAACAATATGGGCTGCAGGATCTGGCCTAACTGTCTCTGTTGCAAAGTCAACAGTGCAGTTGATTATTATAATACACAGATGTGACATCATAGTAATACATCAAAGTTTCATGAAAAAATAATGTTCCACTAAGAAATAGCGACAGCCTTGTTTCCAATTTTGATCTTTGGAACCAATGTTGAATAAAGCATAAGATGAAAAACAGGGTTTGACGACAAAGTTAGGTCAGGCAGTTTTTGCATTTAAAAAAATACAGTATATATTTTGTGTAAACATTTTGCATTAATTGTCATAAATGTTGTGAAGCACATACCCCTTCTGGAACAGGAAGCCCAAAGAAGTACGAGCTGCACCCATCCGGCTCAGGCATCTGGTACCCAGGACGTGGAAGTGGAGCATTACCTGAGAGAGGTGAAGAACTCGACATGTATACAAATATTTCATGGTGTCAAGCACACATTGAGAAATGAGATATCACCATATGAAACCTATTTGCTATCGGATGAGGTCACAGTCCATTTTGTGACCCTCCCAGATGATAAGAACATTGATAATTGCAAGGAATTTACAACAGTGGGCCCCGTGAAAGGGTGTTGTACATTTTTTTTTGAATTAAAGGTGATAAAATATTTTTTATTTTCACTGTGACGTTTATGTATATATATTTTTGTCTCCGTCTGATCAGCATGACCAAATACCCTAAACCCTAAAACAATATAAAGCAATGCAAATTTTAAATGTTTTTCATCTGAAAACAGCAAAACTGTGACAACACTGTATCACAAGAAATGCCAAATGTAACTTTCTGAATTAAAGGTTTTCGACAATAATCCGTTCCAGAAGGCTGTTCGAAAAGCGATTTGTTCGAAATTCGAAACTATTTTATTAGCCCATGATTAGGGGTGAATATACTATGCAGAAATAACATAAAACAGTGAGATTTGCGTAAATCACAACGCATCCGCTGACAATGAACACTACATGAGGAAGCGTCACTTCCACGAGTAAGGAAGCCGGGAGGAGTCAAGTGGCGTATTCGAGTTTGCTTTGTCGAAAACCAGTTTTCGGTCGTAATCCGAGGCGTAAAACTATCAAAGTTTCTGGTCGAAACCCGATTTGGTCGAGAACAGATACGTTCGAAAACCGAGGTTTGACTGTACTTTACCGTATCGGCAGCGGTATTGGCATAGTCCATCTCGTCCTCCCATGAACTCCAGAATTGAGTCAAAGTAGCCGCTGGCAGCCTCAAAGCCACCTCTCAGAGAGTTCAGGCCCCACTCGGTGTTCTCCTCCTCCACAGCATTGGATGCTGCAGATGGAGGCGATGCTGCTGTGACAGTTTCTTCGGTTTCTTGAGTGACAGCACTGCGGAGGAACAGGAGCAGGAGGGGAGCAATTAGGGCCCAGCGGCTCATCCTGCAGCTCATACAGTTCAACACACATAAACTAAAACACTCACAGGCTGAATAGTGAAACTGCGTGACCTGAACTTTGATCATGCAGACGTCAGGACAACCTCCGATGTGGAGGAGCAAAGTCCAGGTTTTGTCTTGCAGAGCTTGTAATCACGCTTTGTGATTAATCGCACACACTGATACTGTACCCGGTTCAGTTTGGTTTCATTAGATTTTCTTCTATTAATTTAGAGCTAACTCTTGTTTAATCGCGGGTAACTTTTCTCAATTGTTCAAATGTGCTCCCGGTCCAGGGGTCTACAGTACAGTCAATATTATATTGCATCTAGTGAGGGAACGGGGATAAAACAATAATCAAAAGTAGAGTCACACAAATGCCTTTTTTCTTCACTTTCTTAAGTGTAAATCAAATATACGTATTTCTTTTGTTTTTAGGAGAGTTCAACAGTTTTGTGGTTTAGATTTGTTTCTCAGCGCTCTAAATATGACACGGTGATTTTTAAAGACACAGACCTTGTCCTGACGTGCGGTGAGGTTCATGACTGTGGAGCGCAACGTGATCCTTATCCTCATAACATGACTGTTGTGGCATCGTACCTGCTAGACTTAACTGTGCACTTTTTAGTCACAAAAGTCTGGCCTCAGACATGCACTGCTCGGCGCAGATGCACTGTCACACAGGAAGTCCTGGAATATATTTCAAAATAAAAGTGCTTGCACGACTGTACATGACAGGAAGTGGCACGATAGATTTTAAATAAAACTCAATTGTATGGAACACTGTAAAACCAGCACCGCCGTAAAAAAGAATACAAAGAATACAAATTTGTTTTCAGACAAGTTTTAAAGATGGCCAATGAGGGGTTTTGGCTAACGTTTCCCAGTTAATTTGGTTGCTTATGTAAGTCGAGGGGTTCGTAGGTTTTAGATGGATTTGCTCTACGTTTAGAATGGGCAAAAAGCGGAGGACGACTTCGTTTCAATAGTATCCAGCTGCAGACTCGGAGGAGGTAGCTTCAGGCAGTGGTAGACATACGCACGCCGGAAATGGCTTTGGTAAGTTTTGGCAAATTTATTTTCAAAATAAAATCCCAAAGTGGCTGTGGTAAGTTTAAGTTTTGGTATTTATCTTAACTATACACTTATCAAGTCTTATCTCTCTCTCTCTCTCTCTCTCTATGCAGTATATATATATATATAGATATATATATATATATAGATTTTCAAAATAAAATCCCAAAGTGGCTGTGGTAAGTTTAAGTTTTGGTATTTATCTTAACTATACACTTATCAAGTCTTATCTCTCTCTCTCTCTCTCTCTCTATGCAGTATATATATATATATAGATA